GGACGATTCGGAAAACNCTACAGATACGACGAATCGGAAAACGTTCACTGAAAATCCTTTCGGTCTCGTGAAAGTTACGCGTCGCACCGTAAATAAAAATCGCTTCAATTTTTTCTTCCGCTGGACAAGAATTGACCATTTTAGAAATTGTTGACGTGGTACCTTTCTACTAGTGAAACTGGAAACTAAATGAGAATATTCTAACTAAACAATGATGTTCATTGTCGTACTGACGTTTTTCGTCGTTTTCATAAACAAAAAATAACTCAACAGACCTTATCGGGCAGTTGGAATTACCATATGGTAGATAAAAAGGAATATTTATAGAAATATCGATATTAATGTATTGTTCTCAGGAAATTATTGAATGTTATGCCATTTTGTAGTAGGTGAAGATATTGATTTCATATTTGAAGGTTATAAAGTACTTGTCAGAAGCTTCAAATTGATATATCACAAGACCCCCCTTTCCATTCAATTTTTCCCCCAGATGGCGCCCAGTCGCCATCTTGAAAGTTCCATCTGTCAATTTTACTTCAAAATAAAGTATTCATGCATTAATTTCATCATCCCAAACATCAATTTTTTGAGTTCAGCCGTTAAAAAATAAAAGGAGGGGGGACATTAAAGAAATGCACTGTATGTATTGAATTTTCCGAAATGAACATCATTATTATCATTATTTCCAGGGCAACTGCGCATCACTGAGGGTCACAGACTGCCGCCAGCTCATGCGAGAATGGTCACGGAATGCGGTCCTCCAGGACGAAGTTTGCACGGCCCAATGCGGCTTCCTGCTGAGGGGATCAGACTCCTCGTCCGTCCCCCGCGGTCTTCGCCCACCTCCCCTGAGGAACGTACGGCAGGGCCGCCCCCCGAGATTCCCCTCAACCATTTCGGACTCAGGGTTCGGGGGTTTCAGGTTTCCAGATCTCTCGCCGTTCATAGCAAAATGAAAAAAGGATGAAAGGTGGAATGAATGAGTTGTATTTATAATTGTTATGTAATTTTTGTATATAAACTTTTTGTGGAGTTTCCGTCTGCCGGAGCTGGCGAAGAAAAAAGTGGGTACAGAGTGGAACATATTGAGTTTCGAAACCTTTAATTTCTGAAACTGTACTGAAACCGCTGTTAACTATCTTTTTTCATGAATCTGTTTTTATATTCATGAATTTTGTACACCTTCATAAATTTCCTTTGAAGTTATTCAATATCACAGAAAAATCAAGAATAATTCTTTGCAAATGGTATCAAATAGTGGAATATATAACAGACTAACGAGGGTTGCCTTTTATATTTCGGGATTAGAGGACAAAAACAAATATTAATCATCATAAATCACTTTATTGTTTTCAAAACTATTCCCCATGGAGACCTATACACTTTTGCATTTGTTTGAACCAATTGTCGAAGCACTTTTGCCACTCTGATTGAGGTATCTCCAAAACTTGCTTTCTCAATGCAGCAACTGCTCCTTCAGGTGTCGAAAAACGTTGACCTCTCTGTTTTTCACGTGCGGGAATAAAAAGAAGTAATTCGGGTCAACGGCAGGACTATACGGCGAATAACTTTTCAAATCGATGTTATGGGTGTTCAACAATGCAGTTGTTTGAGCCGATGTGTGAGAGCTCGCTTGTCGTGGTAAAGAGTGATCCGTCTTCGGCGGTTGGTTTTCCTGATTTCTTGGAAGACAACTGGCAAACAAATGGTTGTGTACCACTCAAAATTGTCTGTTCTGCGTTTTTCTGGTGGTACGGTTGCGACATGTTCAGTTTTTCTGAAAAAACAGGCGACCATTTGCTTGGAAGTGCTTCGTGCGTTGGATTTGGCTCATCTTGAAACACCCATACAGTCGACTGCTGTTTACTTTCGGGCTCATACGCGTAAATCCACGATTCATCACCTGTCACGATGTCATAGACGGGTTCCGAAGCACCGCGATAGTATTTTTGAGCATTTCCACCGACCAATCGACACGAGCCTTTTTTTGAGCGGCTGACAAATTGTGTGTGATTCAACGCGAAGAAATTTTTTTGACAGTCGAATGTTCATGCAACATTGAATGTATGCTGGTCCGACTAATGTCTACGGTTGTCTCAATCTCACGATAGGTCACATGACGATCTTGCAATATCAGTTCGCGCACAGCATCAATGGTTTTCGGAACAACAACTGATTTTGGACGATCTTCACGAAATTCGTTTTGGAGTGAACTACGACCACGATTGAATTCACCATACCATCGATAAAAACTGGTCCTTGATGGAGCTTCATCGCCAAAAATTGAATTAAGTTCATCCATTCACTGTTGCTGAGTTAATCCACGTCGAAAGTTGTAAAAATTAATCGCACGAAAATGTTTACGATTTAATTCCAATTTTGGGTCGAGATGAATCTTTTAAGTTACTGTAAACAACACAAATAGCGCGCGTATGTCAAAACTTTCTGGTACGTATAAGCTCAAAAATGTCCAACTTTACGATAGAGCTGTCAGTTGCCAAATTGCAACACTAGTGTTGCCAAATCCCGACATATAAAAAGCAACCTTACTCGAGTCTGTATTATAACAAACCATTTTTCATTAGTGATATCAAGTTGTTACCATTATTAATGTGTGAACACAATTTTGACATTTTGTGTCGAGAGCTCTAGAAGCATAAAAAGGAATGTTTCCTTGAAAACCTTGTACCTACTCTACAAATGATATGTAATATAGCCCTCTGTATGAATGATTTGTATTCTTTAAGGGAAGTATATCTACATACTCAAATATGTGATTAGTTGCGTAATCTTCATTCTGGTCTATTGAAATATTACTAAAAATAATTGTTTTGTTAGATCTCCTATCAGAGTTACAAAAAATTCTTGGTTAGGTACTTGTTGATTCCTCTTGTACTAATGTATGAAATCTGAAATTTGACCAGTGATATCTCAAGTACAATACTTTGAAAGTAAGTGTATTTTATGTATATTCTTGAAATGTATATTAAATATGTATTATTTGATACTTGTTTTATTGAATTCCCTCAAAAATATGAATTGACCAACAGTTGAAGAAAATCCATTTTAGCGTACTCGGAAAACTTTCTACTCAGTAGAATCAATCAATCAAGATATACTTCGTTGTCCAACGAACAAACTTTTCATCGTGAAATCATAAAATCGTAGATACTGCATCAAAGAATATGATGTAGTTAAGCTATTTTCTACTAATTTTTGTCTAACGAATTCAAATAAAACCATAAGAATTATGGAATATTTTCATTTTGTTACATTTTTAATTCATCGAGCTTGAAAAAACACATTTGAATATTCTTGGAACTGAAAATTGATACAAAGCAGCAGGTGAACAAACACAAGTCAGAACAGCTGACTTGTTTTCACCATTGCAAATATTTGTTTGAAGGTGATTGACAATGTTTCATGATGAATTCCATTAGTTCGGACTTCCATTGTCTGATATTATATAAAATGATTTGAAATCTCTGAAAGAACTAATAAAAAGAAAGAATTGAAAAAAAAAGCTGGAAAAAACCACAAACTTCGTTTGTGAAGATCAAATCGTGAGGTGTAAGTTTTGAAAATGAAAAATCAAGAGATTCCAAGCCAAGTTACTTTACGACGTTTCGATTGTTAGTATCCACAATCGTCTTCGGGTGATGACTGGACTTATTCCTCCGAGATCTGACTATTTATAGGTCATTCGAGTGCTTTCACCTTTCACCTATTCCCTGTTTCCTCTTTCCGCTTCATTGGTTTCAGCGGGAGATGACCGTTTGGCAGGAGTTGGCCATTTTTCTCTTGATTATGAGTTTCCATATGTTGCGTATCTTTATGCTAGCTTGGCTGAATACCTTATTGGACAACGTGTATGTGGCTTCTTTGAATTTTCTTCTCAACCAATGTTCCTCCCTGTGTATGATCTCAGCTTGCGACCACACGATGTTGTGTTGATGGGCCAAACATGGTCTGTTATTCCTGATTTGCTGGTTTTCCCTCGCTGTGTGTGTTTTTTGTGCACGGAATGCGAACTTTTAATGGCCTCTTAGTTTCACCGAAATAGCATTTTCCGCACTCGCAGGGTATCCGGTAAATGCATTTCTTGGAATAGCAGTCCGCATTTGGTAGCCTGGTTTTCGTGAGGCTGTTACGGATAATGTTTCCAGATCTGAAACAAGTTCTGATGTTGTACCTGGACCCAATTCTTCTTATCCTTTCCGATAATCCTCTGATGTACGGAAGTGCTAGCACTGGTTGTGACGGTTTCTCTTTCTTGCGAGGCTCCTGCTGTCTTTCAGTCAAAGTCTATTCCACCATCGCTTTGGAGAAGCCATTCCGTTGAACATAATTTTTGATGATGTCTAGTTCCTTCTCGAGACCTTCCTTCGTATCACAGAGCCCTAAAGCTCGGTCTAATAGAGTCTTGATGATTCCTCTTTCAGTCGATTGATGGTGGTTCAGATACTGTCCCTTGAGGGTGGGTTTTCGGTATACAGATGTTTCCCACTTACTTAATATAATTTTCATTTCCAGGTATTTCAAATCTTTTTATATAATATCAGACGATGGAAGTCCGAAATAATGGAATTCCAAATATATATAATTTGAAAGTTAATATTGGCATATGTTCTACAAAACATTCAGCCAGGTGCAGAGTTGTCATATACTTGGTATATTTTTTTATTTTTGAAGGTGACCATTATGAGTACAGTATCATTTTGTTCATATAAAAATAGACGAAAGAGGGGATAAGAAATACCAAAAGACAAACTTTCGGAAATTGTATTGAGGAAAAATGAAACAATTAATTTGTCTGTCAACAGTTGCTTTGTGAAATGTTCAGTGCTTTTCATTTGTTTCAATAATCAAAAACCGTCTCACTACGAATTAATGATCGTAGAAACTTTTCAGTTTATTTACTAAAAATGTTTATAGTAACACATATGATTTCAACGTTCTCTTTAATTCAATACTTTGAGAACGACGGGGGAAAGAATAAATCGAAAACAAGAACATATTTATTCTGAATGAGAATACGTCATTTTTCTAACATGTTTATCACAAAAACAGTTGCAAGTAGTCGGTACACTAAATTTATCGAAATCGATGATGTCATCTTCAAAAGTCAGTAGATATATTTCTTGATAACTCTGGTCGCATTGAAAGCCAAATTCCGAACAATAGTCGCTCCTGAAACGAATATAATCAGTCTCAATTTACAGACAACAAAATACGACGGTGGTTCTGGAAGTACCCAGCCTGACTTAGAGATGGCGGTAGTTGTTCGAAATATATCACCGAATTGAAAAGTACACGATCTATAAAGCATATGTTTCAAGTTTGAAGACGCTCAGTTGTTTAGTATTTGTTTGGCAGCCATCAATAGCGAAAGTTTTCGTTGAATTTGTGAAATTGGAGAAAATTGGTCATCGTTACGTAGTACAATACTTTAATTTGAAAAGCCTCAGCCTAAGCAATATGGAAGCTGGACTGGATTCTACTTTGGGTGAGCCTGCTCCTTAGTTTACAACAATAAAATATTGGGTAGCAGAGCTTGAACGAGGCTGTACGAGGTGACAAGACGAGAATCGCAGTGGTCCACCAAATGGGGTGACGACACCAGAAACGGTGAAGAAAATCCACAAAACAGTACTAAATGATCGTTGACTAAAAGTGCGCGAGCCAGCAGACTTAGTAGGCATTTCAAAAAGAGCGGTAAATCGTATATAATCTGAAAATTTGAACATGAGAAAGCTGTACTCAGACGATAACCATGGGAAGATTAAAATCTTCCCCGGCTTGAAAATAAAATTATCATCTACAATACGATGTTCAAGTCTGTCATCATGTATGCTTCAGGCATCTGGGGACAAGCGGCGAAATACAATATCACCATTCTGTAGACATTGCAAAACAAATTAATGAGAATGATTGTGAATACTCCGTGGTTCGTGCGGAATGAAGCCATCCGCAGAGATATGCAGCTGCCTTCCATTCGGCAGTCCATTCAGTCAAGGAATCGGCCAGTTTTTTAAGGTGCGGAAACACATGGAAATCCGTTAGTTAGGAAAGCTATAGATTATGTTGTAGACGACCCCTCCTGATATAGAAGGCCCCAACACTCTGTCGAATGAGGCCCTCATGTCCCCTGTTAACGGATGAACAACTTTCTCATCCATCCCACCCCAGCCAGGTAGGGGTATCCCGTGAAGGGCGGCACTGATGTCTAAGGACTTCATGCCGTCATACAATCAGTCATGAAGCCATTTGTCCTTCTTGGACAATATTCAGCTAAAAGGGTAAGGGAGCTGGACTCCATCCTGATGAAGACGCTAGATCAGTATGAGAAAGCTGTGTGCAAGATTGGTGCCGCGTTTGCTCACACTCGAGCAGTGTCGTGAAGATGTTTCAATTGAGTGTTTAGCGAAGTTTCACAGCTACAAAGCAGAATTTTTGCGTCGTTTCATAACCATGGATGAAACATGGGTTCATCATTTCACGAGACGAAAGAACAATCAAAACAGTGGACTCAAAAAGGAGAACCGGCCCCAAAGAAGGCGAAGACCGTTTTATCTGCAGGCAAAGCAATGGCATCGGTTTTTTGGGATGCGCGCGGGATAATTTTCATTGACTATCCTAAAAAAGGTAAAATCATCAACAGCGATAAAAAGTGTATAGAGCTGCATGAAGATAATGTTGAAAAATAAATAATTTTTTTCCAAAATTTCTGTGTTTTCTTTGTTGGGCTGGGTACCTCTGGGACCACCATCGTATTTACTTGGAACTTGTTGAAACAGTTCACTGTGAGATTTATATTAGAGACGGCTCAGGTAGAAAACCGCAGGAAAAGGCAGGACTGGCAACAGTTCTGCAAACAGGATTGCATAATGAACTGTATTTCAGTAGGTGCCGATACGAAATGTCATCAAATATAGGCCAGTTCAATTCGATTTTTACTTACTTTGGAAGTTTTCTGCCGACCTTTCTAGGAGCCCTGGAAAGTAAAATGACATATCTTTACAAACTGTCATGCATATACAGTGCTTTTCAGATAAAAGTATCCACCTTTAATAACTTTGAACTGTTGTACAACCCATTTTATTACAGGCAAATAAGGTGAAAGTAAAAAATAAGTAAAATTTGTGCTATTAAAAGAAAAATTGTTTATCTCATAAACTAACCACTTTAACCTACATGTATTATACATTTTTGAAATCAGCTCAAAGAGGAGTATCCAAATTTTACATAAAAAATATGAGAAGTAATTAAAAAAAAAGGGATGATGCTAGGGGTGAGGGGGTGGCTTTTCCAGTAAGTTTAAATAAGCCATAATGCTAGCCCCTTCCAACATAAATTAACGTGTTTTTGGATTTTTCCTAAATACCAGTATTACAAAAGTTATTAAAGGTGGATACTTTTATCTGAAAAGTATTTTATTGTAATGGTAGTGGGAGGAATAGTTGCAGAGAAAACGAATGATGGGGTTTCCTTTAACAATAATGAAACCTTGACTTATCAAAGCATCTGATCTTTGCTTTCCTAAGGTCAAGTGAACTGGAGTAGGAAACTGAGAGATTCAAATTTTTGAAAGAGTAGTAGTTCTTGAGGAAGATCAATTTGTGATAAATAACTTTTGATTTCGTCCACTGTGTAAAATATGGCAAACTTTCACAGGAAGAAAAAATAATTTTAAAATCATTAATGAAAGATCTCTATGAAATTGGGGTTGAAAATATTATACATTTCTGTTTATTCTGTAAAATAAAAAAAAACAATTAGGGTGCAGAGCCTTGCCGGCAATAATTCAGTTCATTGAGAGAATTATTCAGTCATTTGAAAATAATGAAATAGACCAAGGTATTTTCTTGGACCTATCAAAAGCCTATGATTGCTTCAATCATAAATATTTATTGGCTGATAGATATGGAATTAGAGGAAATATCTCTAGATGTTTCATCTACAATTGCGGTGGAGAATATGAATGGCGAGGAGGTAACGAACGGAGAGTATTATTTGTCTTCACAGTAGATATTCTTGGGAGCGTGGGTACGTTTTCATTGGTTGGTATAAAGGACCTGATACATACGCAATTGAGTGCAGGTTGCTAGATTTTATTGATGTTAATGTCCTGCCCCTTCAATTGATAATGTCCACCGCAGTCGTAGACTGAATGTCAGGAATGAAAAAAACATGGATAATAAACCGGGAGAATAGTTTTGACACAATCACCTCCAGCTGTGATAGCTTGAACTTTTTGTTGACCTATTCATATTGAATATTCCAATTTTTCGTATTACACCCTCATGAGATTTTGGAGCACAGATATCGAAATTTCAACCACAAAAATCTTACAGGACATACCTTTTTTAACTAATTAATGCTTTACCAGATCGGTCTATTGGAATGCTCATTTTAACATCGCTTTTTATTTTCATTTTCATGGATTGGAATATTCTGTCAAATAATTATCAGCAACGAAAATTGTTCAAATTAATTGTTAAAAATCAACGCTTTTTTCAACTCTACTGACCTGCAAATTTCAGATGTGAATATTTGTTCATATCCTTCCACATTTACCACGAACTTCCATTCCAGATTTATATTCATCATTACTCGTGGGAGGTAAGAAGTGGATCTCTCCGCCAAGCAGAGATGCTTCGCTTCACCATATTCCACTAGGCCAGTCCTATAAAAAACACACTAGCCAATCGATACCAATCGATAGATAATTTTTAACTCTATTTTTGCACTGGTTTTTTCCAAATTTCAATGTTTTACCTCGCTCAAGTAACGTAAACTGAACATAATTGACTTCAAGAATCAAAACTTTCTATGTGTTTTAGCACTCTTATTTGTGCAGTAATATTCGAGGTGGAACGATGAAACTCTCAGGACTGATGTTCATGTTTTGATGTCAAAACCAAAAAACAATCTACTTCAATTAATACGGAAGATACGAGGGTGTTTCCATGAGAAGTGAGACAAATTCGGATTTTTAGGACTGAAATTTTTTCAGGGAAAAAGTGTATTCGTAGTAAGTTGGTAGTCCCGATCACGAATCTGAAGGAATTTTGAGCCTATTTTGCCCCCTCATATGTTTTACCGTAAAAATGGGGTGTTCCATCGCGAGTGGCGGACAGTGTATATTACTTTGGCCAACCCCATACAGGTGATAGGTGCATTTTGAGCATTTCCATCAGTCCAGAGAGTTTCATCGTTCTACCTCGAATATTACGGAAGATACGGGGGTGTTTCCATGAAAAGTGAGACACACTGTATAGCTTGTTAAAATAAAATACAATAATGTTGTTGGGTTTACTGATTACTACATAAGGACACATTGCAAAAATAAATTTGGATAGGCAATATTGTGAAATTAATTTTTATATAGCTGAAAAGAAACTATATATTGTGAAATAATAGATACGGCAAAATTGTAAAATTAATTTAGGTTGGTATACCTGTATGGTTGGTACGCCTGGATGGTTTACCTGTATGGGTTACCTATATAGCATAAATACGGTTAGCTCGCATTATTTTTTAGTTTTAATCTTTCTCTTTGAAGATTATCACTTGGTGATCGAAACACGTGTCGAAGTGTTAAAAATAACGATTTGGTGTTGGGAAAAAACTCCAGTAATATTTAGACTCTCAATATTGAATAATATTCCAAAAAGATACAAACCCACCTGCTGGGAAAATCTACTGCAGTGATATCATAGGTCGAATTCAATACAATTCCAAACACTCCTCTCAAGGATGCTTTGTCTGCCAGCGCTTTTTTAATTTCTATTTCGGGATAAACATTGACTTCTTGGCAAATATGATGAGGACATTTCATATACTCATCGTGATCTCTGGGACGAATCTCGCGGTCCAGATTCCTCATAACTGAATGCTACATGAGAAAAAAATAAAATTCATGATATTATCAGGCTGAAATCATAAAAAACGTATGATGATTTGAACATTATTAATGACTAGAAAGCTACATACATGTTAGCAACTTTCAGTCATCATTTTTCACAAAAGAAAACTGACACCCGACACAGTGACGAAATATTCTCACTGAAGAAACTAAAGTTGTTTCACTTGAAATGTTCCATCCCACAAAATAATAGTTCGACAACTGCTGAAAGACTACATTTTGATTCCGAAGAGAGAACAAACCACGTATCACGTAATTCCACATAAAAATCCCTACATTGCGTTGTCATCAAGCAGTTAAACAATATCACAACAATTTGAATTGAAGGGGTTATACTTTTTAGGGGTGATTAATTTTTGGGAAAGAAAGTTTTTGGCTTTCTACTGCTCCATCTTGATACAAAAAAAAGAAGGATGAGGGAGTCTTCCAAAGAAAGGAAGGAAGTAACTCTATACATGGATGTGTAGATCATGCAAAGAAGTAACTTTCAGACACAAACTGAAAGAAAGTCCTCCTGAAACAGCTACCTTTTTTTTTTTAAGGAAAAACACCGCATCAACCACTAGGGTTATTGAATTTTGTTAGAGATGCCAACATTTTCCAAAAAACTATAAAGGGAAGTAAAGTTCGTAACATCCAATGCATTGGTGAGGTCGCTTGGTAATCCGAAAAATTGTCTTTCTTCATTGAAAGCTGGGCAATCAGAGATGAAATGTTCAACACTCATCGTCACACTGCAGGTATCACAAATGCGAGGCTCTTCATGCTTTAGGAGATGTAGATGGGTAAATTTCGTATGTCCAATTCTCAGGCGTGTAAGTAAAACTTGCTGTCTGCGGGTGAGAGCTCGGTAATTTTGAGTGACTAGATTCGGATTAATGGCTCTGAGTTTATTATTATATAGGGATTGCCACCTTTGCCTCCATCTGTCGCATATGAGCTCTTTGATTTGGAGATAAACGTCTTGATAGAGCACTCTTTGGATCTCTCGACAGTTGGGGTTTGAAATGGCCTCTCGAGCTTCTGAATCGGCCCTTTCATTACCCGTTATTCCCATATGAGAAGGAATCCAAACTATCTCAATGTGTTTACCATCCTGTAATAACTTTCCCAGTTCAGTCTTAATGAGAAGAAGAAGAGCATTTTTCGGGTAGAGTTGTTGGATGCCCAAGACAGCACTGAGAGAATCAGTGAAAATGACATGATCACCAACGGATCTACGACAGTATTGTAGTGCGCTGAGTATAGCAAATACTTCTCCTGA